CCCCCCGCAGGCATTACCTAGCAACAGCCACTGTTTACAGAGTCGCTGCTTATCAATAGGTCTTTACACCACAATATCTTCTCCTTCATCTGCACACTGTAATAGATGTTGCAAGGACAGACCCAAGTGGTTCATTTTTTCTTCATCCTTCAGTTCTCTGGGCACCCACCATGTGCACATTTTCGGAAACTTCGAAATGATCATACATTAATCTGTATGCTAAACCATGGGAACACCCTAGTGCAGTCGCTACACCGTCTTTCGTTATCCTCCTGTCAGCTCGAATCAACTCTTCCACCCACTGCAGAGTTGCTTCTATCACAAGCAGGTTGGGCATCGTGTGAAAATTTTGGACATCCTTGAGAGAATTTCTCAGCCCATTTGTGAACCACTTTACATGACAAACTCTGCCCACCATAACCAGGAAACATTTCTTTCTGAATATCCTTTGCATTAAGTCCTGCCAACAAAAAAGGCACAACAGAACACTGCTCTTCGGTAGGATACTCCTCAAGCATGGTCGCCATTTTGACTACTGAAATTGGCATCTGAACATGTGCATGAGCACCTGCTACCTACACTGTCATGACGCTGGACTGCGCTGCTATCTAGTGGTACAAACAGAAAACCTATTACATCCATTACAGCTGTTGTACTTCATTTGTGACCTGTTTACTGACTCTCCCACATAATAAAAAATGCAGATTTGCAGAAGATGTATGTATACATGTTCTGGATTAATGATGTATTTACTTTTGTTTTGCAGAAAATTTGAAGTTATTAGATCCAAGTGGTCAAAAAGGGAAGGAAGGTCAAGGCAGTAATACCAAAGAAGCAAAACAATCCAAACGTGGTAAAAGAGGTGGAAAGAATAAAGATGCGCCTGAGGAGAGGGCAAGGGCAGAAATCAGTAAAGTTATAGCACTGAAAGCTCGTCTTGCAAAGAAAAAGGAAAGGCCTCGTAAGATCAAAGCAGTAATTGATCACAAAGTGCATGGTTCAGGCAAGACAAGTAAGTCTGAGAAGCTTTATAATGCTTATGCTATCACAGGAATTTTGCTTTGGACAGGCTATAAGAAATTTCTTTGGTTTATGGGTTTTTTATTGACTCTGTTATGGCGTGAGGTGGAGGTACCTCCACCGCTTCCACCACTGTACCTCTCTTAAGCCGCCGGTACACCTCTCTTATGCCGATGTGACAGAGGGCGTGGAAATATCCCGCTCTGTCACCCTGTTTAGTATGCTGCCACCATCTTGTTATTTTCAAGAAATCTCGTAAACTTATCATAGCTTGCATCCCTGTCCTGGCTTAACTCGTAATTCGCCGGAGCGTTGGGAGGTCCTGGAGTCGTCAAGGAAGAGGGTAACACTTAAGGAAATGTTGGGTTGAATTAAACTCTTACACATTCCTATCCTATTCTATTTACCTATGTCGTTATGTACACTATACACACACTGTGCCGACGTTTGTCGGTTGTATTACACTGGATAATGAACCTGCAGTCATCGTTGGTTCTACCTCCTGTCACCCTACTGGCGGGTATTCTACGCCTTGGGATCACTGATGAACCTAATCAATCTAGCCTATCTTTCCCTGTGGTTTTACACTTTAAATTTATCACTGTTACACTTAATGTTCATGGCTATATGAAGATGGTTTCACTTACTTGAGATGAGGAAGAAGATGCTCGTCATCAGCAACCAGCGCACACTCACGGCCATCGCTCTCTCGGCGATAGCCTCCCCTGAACTCTAAGTTACTTAATATCAATCAAAAGTCTAAAGGCAAAAGGTTTTTTGATTAAGTCTTCTAGGATTTATATAACCTCTCTTTGCAGATTCTTTGAGTTCCGGGTAGGTTGCCTGCCCATTCTGACGTGATTTTGGCCTCCCTCATTGGTTGCCCCTCGAGAAGGGGTTGACTCTTTCGGGTCTACCGCCTCCTCCGACTCAGCGTTTTCCTCCTGCCATAGTGTTTATGACCCACTTCATATAGCTCCTTCCTCAATGTCAGCGCTATTACACTGCCGGGTTAGCATTCTAATGACTCAGGCATTCCCTGTTACAATTCTTTGTAGACCTAAGCTTCCTGAATTGTTTCATCATGGCTGTTTCTTAATCTTACAGTCTAGCTACTATTATTCCAATTTTTCCCCAAAAACTATATCTACATGTACGTAACCTTAGCGGCATTACAGACTCAGTAATTGTGAAATGTCAGCTTCTATATCTTTTTCTTCCATCATTATTTGAAATGTGAGAATATTTCACATATGAAAGTGTATATGTGAGGACTATTCAGAAGGTAAGTAAAGCTGTCCCTGTACCAGGCCGTGAAGGTCCATAGGGTTGTGAGACGTTGAGGGTCCCACATTTTCTAGACAATCGGCTCAAAGATGGTGGTAAGGTTGTCAGCCTTACACGCCGGCCGCGCTTTACTCCCCAGGAAAATTATTTAATTAATTTCTGGTACTCATTTTTGTTATTCAGAAAGTAACCTCTGTTTATTTTAGGCAACTAATGTAGGAGCTGGCAAAAGCTCCTGCATGCAAGGTAATATCACATGACTGAGTGCCTTGTAAACCATCACATAACTAGTCACCTAGTGTTTATTCTTGTCTCTACAGAGTGAGTTATGATGTGTCCTGTAATTGGTAATCGTGCCAGCTGCAAAATTCACGCTGTTGTCAGCATTCTTCATAATAAATACATTAGTTCTCCAGAAATCCATTGTGAATTATGTGTGGTTTACAACCCCTGAGAGATTTGGCCATTCCCATAGCAGTAGACCCAGTAACTGAGCCCTCTTGCACAGGCAGACTCCTCTATAGCAAGTGGAGACCACACAGCTGGGCCATCCAGTGCAGGCATAATTTTTCTTCTGTAGGATACTGATGATTGGAAAACCTGTAGCCCATCTGTCATTTGCCAGCAAGGCTATCAGAACCCTTGCCATTGTCCCAGCTGAATCCAGCCAAGCCCTCAATTCCTTAATATGAGGCAATTTCTTCTTGGCCACTTCTGGTAACCAGTCCAGTTATACTTCTCAAAGGTCAGATTGCTTACCTCTACTGACAGAAAGCCTCATCCTGATCCCCTGAGAGATTACAGTGGGATATTTCCTTGTATCCCAATGGCCTTAGCATGGTAGCTCACACCTTACCTTAGGGTACCAGTCTTAAGGTCCTCGCCCACTAGCACAGTGTCGTATCCGCGCAGTGCAGAGCGAAGGCTGCAGACGCATTGCTCTCCGTGTATTTAAATGGAAGTGCGCCCACTAGAGTAGGGTCGTGCCAGTACAGCACAGTATAGTATAGTATAGTATCGCCTCCGTTGCTCGAAGAGGCAAACATTCTGCACAGCAGTGTCATGGCGGCACACCGCATCCCCCTTCCACCTACCAAAACGCTTTGTCATTCCTGGGTTGAGTGTCAATGAGGCAAGACATGGCGTTCAAGGAAAGATTAATCTCCACTGTACAAGAGTACAATATCCTCTACGACTGCAGTCATGCCTACTATTATGACAGCATGCGAAGAGAAAACGCTTGGACAGAGATTGGCGAAACGCTGAACGAATCAGGTAGACTAATAATTAGTATGCAATACATGAATGAAAACAAATTGCATATATAATGTTTTAACCCACGGTCTACAGTAGGCTTCCCATGCACATGAGCCCCGGTAGCGTAGTAGGTATAGCGACTGCCTACGGGCTGGACGACCGAGGGGTCAGAGTTCGAGTCCCGGTAGGGTCAAGAAAATGTGGATCTATACATCCACTCCCCCATAAGCCTTNTGTGAAATATCGTGTGGAACTCTCCGAATTTGTTTCTTTTCTTGTTAATATCGTGCACCCATATTCGCTTTGGCTGATCCTCTTGTAGCATCATAGCTACACAGATCGTTTCTTCTTCCGAAGACGAGTCGGTCATTGCAATATTCTGTACAACATGGAGCGCAAGACTGCACGAAAGCGGACTTGGTTCAACTTGGAGGGGTAAACGTAGTGGGTAACAACTTTGGTGGGGGGAACGCTTTCGGTCCCGTCTCTGACGCTACACGCCTGCAGTGGGTGCACTCGCTGGAGACATACTACAACGGCACTGCACTGTTCTGCTAACCATACTGCTCTAGTGGGCGAGGAGCTTTAGTCAGCCAAGTAAGCCTGCTGGTTTGAGGGACTGCCATGAGGAAGCAGTTGGGGTGACTTGTTCCCATAAACAAGGGGCTACTGTAGTGTTCAGTTAAAGCTGATATTTTAGTTATTTCTGTTATGAGGGCCTCCACTGCCTGTTATGGGATAGCTTGCTTTTTGTCTTGGTTGTTTTAATTTGAATACATGCTAACAGTTCTGTATTTGTTACAGGTTCATTGAAGAGGAAGAAGTCATCTTTTACCATTGATTTGACAGATGTGAGTGAAAAGGGAGCCAAACGAATGAGATATGAGTATGTATTCATTCTTTTTTATTATTTCATAAATGTTCATTTGGGTTTCCTCTTGCTCAGGAGTGAGGATTCTTGGCACCATCTTCGAGCACACTTTTTTCATGTTAAAGTGTTCCAGTAAAATTTGTTAAACACTTTCTTTGTCAATGTTAGCTAATTCAGCAGCTGCTTGAATGCTCACACGATTTTCTCAAACAATTTCACCAACTTTTTCAATGTTAGCATCTGTTTTTGATGTCAAGGCCGACCAGGACGTGGATTGTCTTCGATCCCTCGCCATCCCTCTTTAAATCTTTTGAACCACTTGCAAATTTGAGTACTAAATAGACATTCATCACCATAAACTTCCATAATGACATACATCCCAAATCAGTTGTAATCAATCTCCCCATCAGAACAGACATTTACTCAACGGAGTCGCCCATCAAATAGTATCAAATATTAAATAATAAAATACAACATAACAATGGACCTCTGAACACCACATCAGTCATTGTGTATATAATATATCCACATAAACATTACATATATTACGATTACAACTGCCAACTTCCAAATACCATCGCATATATAACTTTTAACTATACTTTTGACTGTGTAACGGGTTATTTTAAAACTTCAACTTTAATTGTAATTACAGCCGCGACATAGCTCAAGCAGTTAGTTGCTGGCTACCCACCAGGGTGGCCCGGGTTTGATCCCGGGTCTGGTCAAGTGGGATTTGTGGTGAATAAAGTCGCGCTGGGGCGGGTTTTCTCCAAGTACTTTGGTTTTCCCTGCCAATCTTCATTCCACCAAATTTTCCATCATCATAATCACCCGGGGCAGGCTACAATAGGCCAATTAGCGGCCGCTGTGCCAGGTAGACCCACTTGGACTCCACCGCCCACTAAACGAATTTTTAAAAAAAAATATTGTAATCTATATTTTATATTCACTCATATCATTTTATACCCTTGTATATGCTTGGAAGTTTGGCACTGCATCCTGTATTTGACATGCAATTCAGTAACAGAAACTTTAATGTATTTGCCTGATGATGGCCTTTTGAAGGCCGAACCATGTAGCAAAAGTATCTCTTAGAGCTACTTACACTATTATCGATTGTTGTGTCATGATGGTTTTCAGTAAGAAATAACTTACATCAACAAACTGTATGTTTCTGTAACAGACTTTCCAAGTTTTGCGAGGATTTTGATATTGACACGTTGCTCTACTTTAACATTTAACATAATTCTGACAGAGCCACAGAGCCAAGGCCACAGGGAGTTGGCAAAAAGATCAGTCCGGTTATTTTATAGCTACTCCACTTCTTTCAGAACAGTGCTAGGAGAATATTTGGACTAAAGGGGTATGAAACAGTAGGGGTGCTGGGGAAGTACATAATGAGAAGCTTCATAACTTGTACTGTTCGGAAAATATTTTTAGAATGATCAAGTCAAGGAGGATGAGATGGGCAGTACATGTAGCATGCATGGGAAGAACATGGGTGTGCAGGATTTTGGTGGGAAAGCCAGAAGAAAAGAGACAACTATGAAGGCCTAGACATAGGTGGAAGCCTAATACTAGGATGAATCTTGGAGAAATAGGATGGAGTGAAGTGGACTAGATTCACCTGTCCCAGGATCAGGACCAGTGGAGGGCTTTTGTGAACATAGTAATGGACCTTCTGATTCCACCAAATGTTGGGAAATACTTGAGTTGCTCAGCAAGTATTGGGTTCTCAAAAAGGCCTCAGCTCCATGGATATAATTGGTTGGTTGGTCTCTTGGTCGGTCAGTTAGTTAGGTCTGCAGCAGAGTTTTTAAGCAGAGATGCAAGGGTGTGAATGTTGTCAGAAGAAAAGAATCATGTTTGTAATTCATCTAAAGTAATGACAGAACAGGATCCCCTCCCCCTACTCATTGTGTTTTCCCTCTCAAAGAATTTCTCAAATCTCATAACCTGGTTGTTATTATATTTCATGTCAGACTTTCTGATATACATGTATGAGGTGTATCAGAAAGTTCCCTGACTACATCAAAAAAGATGTAGACTCACTCAGTTTTGGCTGTCATCTCCTTCAGAATATAGGAATATATGTAGCAATCCCATAGTTTTCTCCATGCTTCCTAAGCACCATGGAGGTCATTATCCTTAATGCTGTCAAATACAGCTTGCGATTTCCTTTGGATGTCAGGAACTGTTTCAAAATGTCATCCTTTCAGTTTCATTTTAAATTTGGGAAACAAAGTAAAATCACAGGGGGCCAAGTCCTGTTAGTAGAGAGGATGGGGAACGATAACCATGTAAGATTTGAGGTTTTCACGGCGGTGACTATGAAGAAAGCAGTCTTCTGGGATGTGGCACCATGTACATATTGTGTTAACCGACGTTCCTCCGAAATGTTAGTTAACACAACATGTACACGGCACCACATCCCAGAAGACTGCTTTCTTCGATAACCATGTTGTTCATAGTGACAGACTCTGTGGTTTTCAGGGACATGTGGGCAGGCGCATTGTCATGATGAAGGAGCCAATTGTGGTTTCATCAAAGTATGGGTCTTTTTTGTCACACATTTTTCTCTCAAACATCTCAAAACATCACAGAAAATGTCAAAGTTGACCGTAGTATTAGGAGGAACAGATTCGCAGTGAGCAATCCCCTTCACATTGAAAAAAAAATACGCATGCTCTTTGTTGAACTCTGGACCTGCCTTGCCTTTTTTTGTTCTTCATGATTGTGGGCTCTTCCACTGTGACAGTTGTTTCTTTGTTTCTGGATCATAACCATAAATCCAACTTTCATCACCCATTATGATCCTAGAGATATGGGTAAAAGTTTGGTCCTCGTTAGTCTTCTCTCGTAGTTCAAGACGCATGTTTATGTGCTGCTGCTTTTGCTCATTTATCAAGAGTCAGAGAACAAACTTTTTGACAGTGCAATGCGTGTTCAAATTTTCTGTTAAGATCTCCTGGCAAACTCCATGACTGATCCCAACAGTGTCTGCAAGCTTATGGATTGTTTGGCAACAGTCTTTGTGGATGAGTTCAACACTATCTGTTGTGTTGCTGGTGCTTGGTCGTCCTGAAGATTCTTCATCTTCAACTGACGCTCAGTTGGCCTTGAAACATGAATGCCATTTAAAAACCACTGTCTGACTTAAAGAATGTTCTCCAAAAGCCTCATGAAACATTTCAAGGGTTTGGTTAGTGGATTTACCAAGCTTCATGCAAAACTTGATACAGACACATTGCTTGATTTTGCCATCCATCAGACAAAACGGAACACACAGTTAATAAAGCACTCGTCTAAAAACAGTGCATGTTCACAGTGCGGTGTCACCTGGCAGACTGATGCAGTACGCTTGTAGAAGTGTGACCTTTGCCTTCACTCTCATCTTTCACTGAGGCAGTTACAACAGTAACACCATACAAGTATTGATTTTTGTTTAAGTTGGTTACTGAATGGTGCTGTTGGTATTGAAACTAAATGTTAGCTGGTAGGATCAATGAATATGCAACAGGTGATGGAATGAGAATTGGCAAGGCAAACAGAAGTACTTGGAGAAGAACCCACACCATTGTCAGTCTTTCCACAACTCCCACATACCCTTACCTTGAATCAAACCTGAGTCATCACAGCTGGAAACCGGTGACTAATCACCTACAAGTATTGCTGATAGCATATTACAGGGGAATACTGTATAATCACCCTGTTAAGAAAACATATGATACAACATGTTACTTTAAACAATACATGATCGATTCCATTTTACATGTTTTGGCTATTCAGCCATCCTGGAGGGGTTTCCACCGATTTTAAGATGTATTAAATTCTTTACACTCAGTTGTCTATTGCATCTGCAACTAACAGTAATAATCACAGGCTGTCTTGTCACTTGTCATGTTCTCTGATGTTTTAGTACAGTATGTTTGTCTCTAAGAAAAATTGTTTCCCGCAATTGTTTCACATCCGTTTATGTGGCCGTCCTGTTGTCATTCCTCTTCTTTACACTACAACAGTTACCTCATCCCCTTTCCTTGTCCCTTTTATACCTTTTTTTTAATTTCTAATTTATTTTATATTACTTTTGTTTGTTTTTCATCATTCGGCTCCTCCTTTCTTCCTCCTTTTTACATGAAAACAGTTCAGGTAAGTATTGCTAGTCATTTGATGATTAACACTCTGACACTGAGAGCAACTATGGCCTCTGTCAGTGCAAGCATAGATCACAAACATGCATCAACCTGTTTGTATTTTCTTGTTTAAGTTCTGAAGCAAAACGAAATCCACAAGATTCAAGATTGAATGGGGTAGTTATAGCTCTTGTTACACTGTGTTCTTATTTTATAATTGTCTTATTCTGTGTTGTACTTCATTCTAGTGCCAATGTTAAGCAGAAGATGGACAGACTGAATAAAAAAGTAGCTGTAAAGACATTTGGCCAACAGAAGACTGGACAAAAGAAAAATGGAAAAGTTTTCAGCCAAAAGAAGAAAAGTAATAAAAACAGATGACTTATTATAGTATTTGACACTCTTACAGTGGTAAATATAAGATTATGATCTGCTGGGTTGTGATGCCATATAGTTTAGTAGGTACTAATTTTTTTGGAGAAACTGCTGCCTAAATCTTCAGGGCAACATTGATGCCTGTCTCTCAAACTGCATGGCACATCACAGAAGAGAGTATCTTGAATTTTTTAAATGAGATTTGTTGTGATGTATACATATGATTAAAGATGAAAATGCATATTCAGTTTAAAATCATCATTTTTGTTCCCAACAATAATTGCAATTTTTTTTCTTTCCTTATGTTTAGTTTAGAAACAGATTAGTGTGCTGTTACCAACCATCATCCAGCCAGATAGTAGGCCGTTGACCTGTTATAGTTTCATGCCTTTCATGGCATCACTTCAGTCTTTCGAAATATCTCTTCCCATATGCTTGTAGTCTATGATATGTTTTGATATTCTGCTGGATTCTATTCCTCTTACAGACATTTGTTCATTCTGTGCAAAATTTTATTATCAAAATTTTAATTCTCCTAAATTGTCTTCAATATTTTGTTATCTGTGTAGCCTGCAGTTCTTATAATCTGCTATAATTAGCTTACATACAAAAGAAAAGTTATTTATACAATTATCTGTAATGAAAATAAGGTGACAGTGATGATATTGAGTAGACCTAAGGGGCCCATACACGTATGAGTCTGGCTCGCGAGTTCAACTCAGCTCAACTCAGCTCAGCTCAGGTTCCAATGAGCCGAACTCATCCGTGTGTGGGTCGCAAAGTTGGGAGTCAGCTCATGCGTTCGTGGTGAAATTAATCCGAGCCCAGCTCTTGACTCAAGCTCACCGAGCCAGACTCATACGTGTATGTGCCCCTTTATCCTCTCTCTCCTTCCCTTCCTTTTTTTTTCTTCTTCCACTTCCTCTCATTAATACCTCTGCCCATATGTTTTCTGCCCGTTTGTTAAGAGTGAAGGAATCCTCTTCTGTGATGGAGAGTGCCTTTTGGGGGCAGATACTTGGTGATAATAAAGTTTCAGCATGGTATTCCTTTAATTTAGTTCTGAGAAAATTGGGAGACAAAGAATCCACAGCAAACAAATCTGAGATTTTGGCATAAAAGGCCACTGTTTTCCCTATGGCCTACCAAGTTGTACAGGTAAATTAAATGATGGAAAATATGTTAATTATTTTAAAAGTCAATACTGATATTGCCCTGAAATGAAATATAACAAAATACATGAGAATGAATAACAATAAAAATAATAATAAGTCATGTTGTATTTTAGCGTCCTGTTGCACTGATTTAAGTCCATGATTTATTTAATCCGTCTTGCAGTGCATACACTCATTTATCTCCTTCTCTCCCTCGCACTACATGTTTCGGCATAATAATGCCATCTTCAGGTGCTTACTTATCCACGTCAAACCAGTTCATTGCATGCCATGTTCACACATTAAAATAACTAAAATATGTATCTATCATATACATTGTCAAACGTTAAAAATATTAAAATTGTTCAGGATACCACATCGCTACGTCGCCCCTCACTACGTCAGTCACGCCCATTCTCCTTTGTTGGAGCACTCCTTCACTATCTTGTGTGTCTGTAACGTGAATTTTTTATTCATTAATACCGCGTTCCGTGTTTTATTTAATACTTGTGGTATTATAGTTTTTTAATAATACTTACTGTGCTTTTGTTGTGTCGTGCTCCTGCGACTGCGTGTGTTATACTGTTGGGCTTCCTGGGTATGTGTGTGTGTTCTGTCTTCGTTTTGAGTGAGTTATGATGTGGTGGGGGTAGGGGGTGGGGTGTTGTTATAGTGCGAGGGAGAGAAGGAGATAAATGAGTGTATGCACTGCAAGACGGATTAAATAAATCATGGACTAATAATAAGTCCTTTATGAGAATGTTTTCTGGTGGCAAGCCCAAAATCTGTGAATACCATTAGTAGCAATGGAACACCCACCAGAAGGCGTAAATCTTAGTTCACTACATACACAGAAAATGGAATGTTCTCTGATTTGCCTTGTGTGCACATGAATACCAATTGTTCACAGTGCAGGGACATATAATTTTGTTCTTAAAAACAATAAGGAGTAAAGCATGAAGTTTATGTTATCTGGAATAATGGTGTTGTCTTGAAGAATTCAATATTGAATCAATTAGTATATGCAGTATATTGAACTGAAAAAATGTTCACACTATATTTTAATCTAGGAGTGTAAGGTTATGCCATACAACTGAGGCATACTCATGTTTAAACCCTATTATATATGTAAAGCTACTGAGCTTTCTGGAGAAGACAAATTTTATAATTAATAATGTCCAAGGGTATATGCAGTCAACATGGTGATGAAAATGCAGTTTACTGTCTAATAATGATTAATACTAGTTAAAATGATTGTACATATGAAAGAAACAGTTTTAGTTTTATAAATGTTGGGTGTATATTTTTTTTTTGCCACAGTGCTGTTTTGTTTATAGCTGCAGGCAAGGACTATAAATATTGTCATGAGTAGGAGTGTACGCATGGTGAGTAGTTGTGGGTTCTAGTTCGGATGATTGGATTGGTTCCAGTCTGCCTTAATTACAATTAATACAGCACTATCACTGATTTACACACTTTTCAGTTCACCGTTGCACATGCACTATGATTCTCATCTTCACTAGTCTCCTGGCAATGTATCCCAACACAGAAACTGTAACCATCTCACTGAATTACACACTCCAGATATTACACATAAGTCATCTCTTCACAAGTGCACTCTTTCAACTGACTCATAAATACAGGGCACTGCACTCTGCACAAATCTAAGCTACAACAGGTCTTTGTTATATAGGCTCTGCATGAACAACACAGAAAACACAAGTCATGTGATTTCTATCCAGCGAGGGCATTGGAGCACTGACTGTTGCCTGGCAATGAGCTAAAACATTTGTCCATTGAGACACATTTGCCACTGTTGCACGTTGGAACATGTTTACCGAGCTGTTGTCTAGAAATGCTTTGAGGAAGTCCATTACACTATTCTCATGATGTGAGGCATACTTATGAGCAAAGGGTCATCACTTCAAGACTTATAAAATAAGTTTAACAGTGGGTGAAAATTTGGTTTTGAATTATCAGCTACTATGGGTACATATCTGCTGTGGGAACCAATCCAATAATTAAAGTCGCAAATGTTTCAGGTTAGAACTATGATACCAACAGTTTCTTTAAGTGAAAGGCAGGTAACGAAACTGTTATAGATGGCCCTTATAAGTACAGCTAGGCCTTGATTATTGCAGATAATGAATCCTATTAAGTAGTTGCATTTCTTAATTCACACTTTTCAAAGTTATTTGTGAAATATGGTAAATGGTTCCAACTCAATGGAAATAGGCAATGAAAAAATGTAAATAAGTCAAATTTTTGTAAGTTTATTAACGAAATATTACAGTAAAGGATAAAAAGAATATAAGAACTGTATTGTTAACAAGTCACAGAATAGTTGCAGAGAGCAAAATAAAAACAAAGACATTCTAAATATCATTCCTAAAGGTGAGCTTATACTGATGAAAATATCTTTGTTGTCTTTAGAAATATTTGAGCAGTGTAGCCTGAATTGTTTTCTCTCTCCCCTTAAATCACACACACACACATATATATATATTTGCTGGTGGACACAGAGTTCTTTACTCACATCTCAGCAAATTTGCATGCTTTGATCAAAGTTAGGGTCAGCATTCATAATTTTCTGCTTTAGGACTTCTACGGCTAGAAAGATATCTTCAAGTTCCTTGAGAGTGAATTCTTATCACTTGCACATTATTTTGTTCTTCGGTATCATTGTTGGCTTCTTCAAGTGCTCTTTGTTGATCTGAAAATAGGGGATCGTCATCAGTCAATTCTTCCAAGAGTGAATGGAGTAGATCTTGGATATCGTAATTTTCTAGTCCATCAAATCCAAAATTTGTAATTTCTTCTATAACAGTTTTTCCTTCGAAATCACCACTATTTTCACAATGAGGCAAAATATACTTCCACACTTCATTCATTTGCATTATTTGTTGCAAAGCATAGTGAATGTTTTCTATCACATATCTGATGTTATAATTTTTTCCAGAATTCTGTTAAGGAAATTGCATCGTCTGCTATAATCTTATCAGTTGCCTGTTCAAATGTCTTTCTTATACATGTAGGCCTTAAATGTTGTGATGGTCCCTTGATTCATGGCCTATGACAAAGATGTTGTGTTTGGCGGCAAAAAAAACGATTTTTACATTTTTGCACAATGAACTGAGTGTAGCTGGATGACCTGGAGCATTATCTACAATCAGGATGCTTTAAATGCGAAATGGCTTTCCTCACAGTATTTTTCAACAGCTGGCCAAAAAATCATGAAAACCAGTCATTGAATACCTCTTGGGTCATTCATGCTTCCTTATTTGACCGCCAAGTAACTGGAGGTGATCTATGGGTGTAGCCTCCTAGAGCGCGGATTTGGAGACACACAAACAAGCATTGATTTCAGTTTAAAACTGCATTGAGCACTGCCTCCAATAAAAGTGTCAGGCGATCCATAGCCACTTTAAATCCAGGTTGAGTTTTAACTTTCTTAGAAATGTAAGCTGAGGAATGCATACTTTTCCAGAATAAACCGGTTTCATCCACATTAAATATTTGTTGATCAGTGTATTCACAATCTTCGAGTTTTTTAAACATCAGGATATTTAGATTCTTCTTCTTCATTTGCACTAGCCACCTCACCGGCAATATTAACGTTATGAAGGTGAACTCAATTTTTATATCGATTAAGCCAACCAGCGCTTGCATTAAACATTTTTTCTTCAGTATTTTTTTTCCTTAACAAATATAAAGCTTTTGTCTGAATGGCTGCTCTACTGAAGGGGATGCGTTTCTGATTCCTTGTAGATGTTTGAAAACCACGAAAAGTTGATGCAACTTTGCTATTTCTTTCGTTTCCCCTGTTTAGGTTATAATAATGTGTGCCATAGATTCACGCATTCCGAAACCTTGTCCCAGTTTAGAGTTGCTATGACCACGTTCATGTTCAATCACATCAAATGTTTGCTCTAATGTAATAACGAGACTTTTCTCCTTTTTTGCCATGTCTTATTCTTACCTGAAGGAATCTCCCTTTTGTGCATTTTATTAATGGCACATCTTAAAACAATTAAAAATCATGAAATATAACGTACTCGTATATTACAGCAGGCAGCAGCACAAGCATACCTGAAGATAAACAAGTGCAGATGTAAGCAGCAGCATCTAAAACTGTAACCTCAATTGTGCATGCGCTAGACCTTAGAAAATATCACTCACGATCCTCAGGATACACCTAGTAATGCAGCAGTTTGTGTCACAGATGCTGCAACTAAGGCGCACTTATGATCTGTCCTCTTTCTAAATCAGACTTGTCTTCCACTTCTGATTCTTTCACGGAGACTGTCATTCAACATAACCACTAATGCACTTACACGAACATTACAGAGTGTAAACAAGTGGAAGAAGATTGTTCAGTGTTGCCAACTGAAGTTCTTTAAACATGGCCGACACATCTATTCATCAGTTTCTTGGTGTGTGATACCTCTATAATTGTTGGGCTGCAATTCATCTTATTTTGTAAATAGGGCATGTAAGTCATTTCTCCCACTGTCCAGGGATAATTTCATCCTACCATACTTGACATATCACTTTATAGAGAATTATAAAGGTAAAACAGTAAAGCTGATCAGTGGAAGGAGTCTATTATTGTACCAGTTCACAAGAAGGGTGATAAAACTGACTGTAGTAATTATCGGGGGATAACACTTCTATCAACTTCATACAAAATGTTATCCAATAGTCTTCTCTCAAGATTAAGTCCATATATAGATGAAATTATTGGGGATCATCAATGTGGGTTTTGACGTAACAGATCAACTACAGATCAAATCTTTTGCATTCATCAGATATTGGAGAAAAAATGGGAGTACGATGAGACAGTACATCGGCTATTCATGGACTTCAAGAAAGCCTACGATTCGGTTAGGAGGGAAGTATTGTACAATATTCTGATAAGAGTTTGGGATACCCATGAAACTAGTTAGGTTGATTAAAATGTGTTTAAACAAAACGTATAGTAAAGTCCGTGTAGGTAAACATCTGTCTGTTAAATTTCCTATCCAGAATGGTCTAAAACAAGGAGATGCTTTATCACCACTCCTTTTCAACTTTGCCTTAGAATATGCAATTAGGAAGGTCCAGGGAAACCAGGTGGGACTGAAATTAAATTTGAAACATCAGCTGTTGGTCTATGCCGATGATGTGAATCTACTGGGTGATAATGTAGATACCATAAAGAAAAACACAAACTTTAATTGACGCAAATAAAGAGGTTGGTCTAGAAGTAAACACAGAGAAAACTAAGTATATGTTACTGTCTCGTCACCAAAATGCAGGGAAAATTCATGACCTAAAAGATAGGAAACAGATGTTTTGAAATGTGGCACAGTTCAGATATTTTGGAACAACGATAACAGATCGAAACCTGATTCTGGAGGAAATTAAGAGGCGATTGAACTCNTAATGAGGAGCTTCATAACTTGTACTCTTCTCCAAGTATAATTAGAATGATAAAGTCAAGGAGATTGAGGTGGGCAGGTCATGTAGCACGAATGGGGGAGACGAATACATATAGGATATTGGTGGGAAAGCCAGAAGGAAAGAGACCACAGGGAAGACCAAGGCGTAGGTGGGTGGACAATATTAAAATGGATCTTAGAGAGATAGGATGGGATGGATTGGATAGATCTGGCTCAGGATAGGGACCAGTGGAGGGCCTTGTGACAACGGTGATGAAAGTTTGGGTTCCATAAAATGTTGGGAAATTCTTGAGTAGCTGCAGAATTGGCGGCTCCTCAAGAAAGGCTCAGCTCCATGAGTGAGTAAGTAAACGGTAAAGCTATCCTAGTAACATACCATGGGGTTGTGAGACGTCGAGGCCTCACATTTTCTAGACAGTCAGCTCACAGATGGCGGCGAGGTTGACAGCCTTACGCGACGGCCAACCTTTACCTCCAGGACGATTTCTGTTAGCGGCTGGGTCAATCCCAGGGTTATAATGCACCAAGAATGGTTAGGTCAGTTGAAGAATCCAATGACCTCATCGGCAAGAGTATAAAGTTCTGCTGAATTGTAATAACGCTAAACTTAAGTAACGAAGTTTCATTTATTAAAGCCTTCACAGCCTCGTACATGTGAGTAGCTCGCTGTTTGCCAAGCATTTCGCGGATCGGCAATTAATTTCAACTGATCGGTTACATCACAGCCCGTCGCTAAACCGACTGAGCTATCCAGGCTGTTTTCGAATTGCGTTAATTTATTTACAGACAGACTCAATCCGATACATGTCAAATTTCGGGGACTGTACCAGAAAATCTTAGAGGAATGGTCACTTTGCTTTAAACACAAACATCCAGGTGTTCTGTGGATGTAGCCTGTATTTCAGTACTTTGTACTATGGGTCCGGTACTGTTTATCAGGACACAATTATCCTGTACATGAGTGGCTCAAATATGTTTACATGGAAATATCTGTTATATTTTGTGTGCCAAATAGGTTTGGAATGGGGACGTAACGAAGAGCGTCACGATTCTCACGCCTTAGTCTCAGGCGAATTAAATCGAGAACTGGGTTTTGAACATCCAGCTTGGATACGAGGAAATAAAAATACAGAATTCGATGCGAAAGCGTTCACTTGAAGGGATCATGCTGCGGAATGTTAATATTAAGCTTTATTGTAACACGAAAACTGAACAGACATACTCAGGATCATAGAAATTTTACGCTGCAGAATTTTACTATAAGATACTCGTCCAAACTGTTCAGTCTCTATTTAAAAATATAAAGCCAGTTGCCAGTTGCACCCGACCATAGCCGACAGCAGTTGGGATCGAGCCCGATCAAGCCAAAAATGTGATTGTCCCGTGAACTTAAGTGGAAAAAAATTAAAAATTGAAACAAGGAAATATACAAAAATTAAAATCACTGTAATACGGAACGCTAATATATTCTAGATGCACTCTAAATGTTTCATTAATTAATTACGCACAAATGTATTCTTAATTTGTTACCCTAGCAATGACGATAACTATTTTAGGATCTTCGTCACCCTACTTCTCCACTCCCTGCCTCTCACCTTGGATGCGTTTCGGCTGTTTGCGCGCAATGCATGATACCCGCAACGTGTGACGTAACAGCAAGCTTGGGTCAGTGGTCAGAGGGGTGTGGGGATACGAAGGTATGGAACGAAGTGTTGCGATTTCGATTTTGTGTTCGCGTGACAAATGTATACCCTTCATATCATCAGAGGTTTAAAGTATAAGAATGTTTATTTATACAAGCAATGAAGGATGAATCCAGTCTAAATAAATCAACGCTGTCAATAATGTTTTTTTATAATTTACGTAGTCATATCTTAGTGCCTGAATTTTTTCTTAGAACTTATAATGTAAATAAATACTGCGAGACCAACATGTGTTAATTGTGGGTAAGTGCGGAAAAGATTAATTTTGCTGTCCCTTTTGTGATTTACGGATTTATAAATGTACGTAACAGCGGTGTTTTCTTTATTACTCGATGAGTACATGTAATGTCAAAATCCTGACTTCACCGGTAATTTAATTTAATTTAATTTAAATAATAATTTAATTTAATAAGAAGTGGAATTCATAAAAATACCGAACTTGTTAGACTGTGAAGATTTTAAAGTTCTTCCTACTGTTTTATGTTTTTAATGGGAGTGACTTAAGAATCTTAATTATATGCTTGTGTGTGAACGAAACAGGGTTTGTAAGTAAACTGTGATACCTCTGAATTATATTTGACGCATAAAATTGCAAAACTAAGTTTTTATCAGTCCACCTTTGAGACGACGAAGGGGGTAAATTAATCTGTATAAAGTTATCGTTGTCAAGTTAGGTTATGGTATGCTAGATTAAGTCAGGAGAGTTTAATGATGATTTATTTGGCGTATGTACATTCCATTATGTCGTATGGAATAATATTTTGGGGCAATTCTATTCATAGTAATTTAATTTTCAAAATCCAAAAACGAATAGTGAGAATTATTATGAACGCAAGAAATAAGGTCTCTTGTCATCTAGTGTTCAGGCACTTAAATATTCTGCCCTTATATTCTCAATATATATTTTCTGTATCAATTTTTGGTGTTAAGAATTTAGATATATTTAAATTTAATTCTGCTATACACAGCATTAACTCCAGACAAGGTTTTGACTTACATTTTCCAAGTAATAAATTAGCTAAAGTGCAGAAGGGTGTAAATTATTCAGGAATTAGGATATTCAATAATCTACCACAAGGCATCAGGAATCTATTAAATGATATTACTAAATTCAAAGAGACTCTAAAAGAGTTTCTTCTTGCTGGTTCATTTTTACTTTAAATGAATATTATGAATGGAACACAAGGGGTGATCTTGGTTCTTATAAATAGTATCTAAAATTAACCTTGACAAGTCCTATTAACTAACTAAAAATATATAAATAATCATCTACTTTAGATCTGCATACATACCAACTGTGACTTTTATTTATTTTAACATACAATCTCTTGTTTTATGAATTTATTTATTTATTTATGAATGTATTTATTACCATAATAATTTTTTAGTACACTTCTGAGAGAAGTTATTTATTCCATTTATTGTTCATGCATGTTAGATGTTTTTATAGTTTTTCTTTTGATGTGTGAGTTATGTAACATACGTTATTTGATATTGTATTGTTTATTGATAATATCCATTGTTTTTATAAACTGGACGAATTTTATAAGATAAATGGTTAATATGTTTTCATCTAGTATTTAAGTCTTGTTGTAGTCACATTTTATTATGTTTAGTGACTGAGTTGTCTATGTTTTATATTATGTTATTTTTGACTTGTTCCAGTGATTGGTTGGAGCATTTGTTCTGATTTTTGACGTATTCTATATCTAGTGGTGTGTTAACTTGCTTCTCGCCCTGCGATTGGATCTACTTGAATATAAGAATAAATAAATTAATTAATTAACAATATTTTTTTGGCAGTTGAATTGATGTTGATTGGATACGTAAAACTTTTAACGATACTAATCACAAAAAGAAAGATCAAATATTGTTGTATTTGCTGTTCTGAGTATGTTTTTATTAGGCACATTTTCTTACCAGTTTGATTAGTCATTGAACAGTGATGTTGTAACCATCAAGGTTACTCTGTATGAGGTTCTCACAGCAGTGACCGCGGTGACTATGAAAAGTACTATACTGTATACATTGTATTTTTGTTCCTGGCGGTTTTACATTTTCTTTTTATTAAATAAGAATTGTAGTCTTAATTTTTCTTTAACTGTTGTATCCCACTGTTTGTTATACCTTAGTCATGTCCTTTTTTACTGTGTCATTTTCCTTAATCTGAGTTATAGAGAATGGTTGAATGAAAGGTATTGAAAATAATGTAATATTAAGAAATCATGACCCAGTGTTAACTTTGCGTCAAATCCTGACTGGGAAATTAATTAGCAAAAAGGCCAAGCGCTAAGTTATTCATATTTGTTCACAAGAGGTTGGAGGGATGAATAATTGAACGTTGTGTTTATGCATATCAGATATGTTTTATATCTGAGTGTGAGAACCTTTTGTGGAATAATTGATTTATGCATGGCTATAATCATTGGCCAGTCACTTACCTCATTTGAAAGTGTAATCCTTTCCGTTCTGTGTTTTATTTCAAACCAAAGTTATCCTCAGAATGTATATTTTCTTAACAAGTAGTTGAACAACAGAAGAAGGTGGAAGAGGTTTGTTTTCATTGGCACTATAAAACATTAACTACATTAGTACTTATTGCATGTTACAAATTGAATGGAAAGTTTATTTATTTGTTGTTTGAAGTATATTATTGTTGTTTACACATTAAATGCAGTTTGATTGTAACATTAAATTTAAACTCCATTGCAAAGGTAAGACCACAGTAATGCATATGTGTTTTCAACGTCACTGAGTGTTCAGGTTGTGGTCCGTGAATTGTGATAACCATGTTACATACCCTTTATTTGTGTGTCCTAGTGTTGTTCCTCTCCCCCATTCCTTCTTCTCCATCCTTTATGTCCAGACAGTTCAGATAAACATTTTTTTTTATTTACTGCTAGTGGGGTGGGACTAAGTCCCTTATACTGCAGCCACTTCTGGCCTATTGTACCAGCCCCAGATGATAGTTGAGGGTGATTGTGGAGCAATTGGTGGAATGAAGATTGGCAAGGAAACCGAAGTACTCAGAGAAAATCTGCCCCAGCGCCACTTTGTCCACCACAAATCCCACTTGATGAGACCCGGGATTGAACCCAGGCCGCTGTGATGGGCAGCTAGCGACTAACTGCTTGAGCTATGGCGCAGCCTTTAGATAAACATTACTCAAAGGCTTTTATAGTTACAGAAGATGTGGAAGTGTACACACGTGTTATCAAGTGATATGTCAGGGTTATTTGATGATTAATGCTATTTATCAGACAACGTGAGTAACTGCTTCCTCTTGAAGCATAAGCGCACAGCAGTCAAAACTGGCTTTTGTGTATAAGATTCCATGCAAACAATATTGGTTGTAAAAACAAAATATATCAGTGGTAGTGTTGAAAGGGTTAATTCTGTTGATCTAATCTAGGCTACAAATATGCCTGATGGATGTAGAACCAGTCACAGACAAGTAACTAAAATACACAAGCTATGAAAATACGCATAGGTCAGATCAAACAATAAACCAAACTGTTTATCTTCCTACTTTAACATTAAACATAACAACATCTTAATTTAATATTTTAAGAAATCAGAAACACTGCATGTAACTGCTCTCTCTCAAGCTCCATGATTCCTAAATATGTGGTGTGTTCCATATATAATGCCTCCAATTTTTTTGTGTTAATATGTAACGTCTGAGCTTAATGTTGGTGGTCTTGTAGTAAAGGTTGAACCTTCCCGCCAATGTACTGTTAATTTGGTTGTCGTGCGACAGATAGCGACAGCAGAGCAGTCTACCAAAATGACCTCTGACATAGAAGTGAGTATGAAAGAGAAATGTGTTATTGAATTTCTCACTGCTGAACAAATTGTACCCATTGACATCCATCAACACTTACTAAAGGTGTACGGAGACAATACAGTGGATGTCAGCACAGTGATTCGGTGGGTAGTGCGTTTCAACAGTGGCGAAAGTGAAGTACACGACAAGCCATGGGCATCCCTGCTCAGCTGCCACTCCTCACAATGAACAGCGCCTCATCCAAACAGATCAGCAGATAATGACCAGGGACTGTCAATTCTGAATGCTACAAGACGACGCTGACTAAGCTGAAAGCCCGTATTTCCCGAGTCAGGCCAGAGAAGCAGACAACCTTTTGCTTGCAACACGATAACGCTAGACCCCATACCAGTTTGGCGACCACCGCGCACATTGCAAAGTTTGGCTGGACTGTCTTACCACATCCACCTTATAGCCCCGATTTAGCACCTTCAGACTTCCATCTCTTTGGGCCTATGAAAGACGGACTACGTGGGCAACATTTTCCAGACAACGATGCTAGCCTCTGCTGGCTCAGACTTTTACGGGCGCGGCATACAGGCTGTTGTTCATTGATGGCAAAAGTGCATTACGAATGGTGGTGATTATGTGGAAATATAACTGTAAGTAGCTGAAATCTTGCTCTATTTAACTGCGTTATTATGATTTCTATATCTGTTGTAGTTTTCTTAAAAAAATAGGAGGCATTATATATGGAACGCACTTAGTACCTCCAGCATAAATGTGAAATGTATGTTTGAGCCTGTAGTCTCTACTGGTTATGCATCCAGATGAATGTTTTATGAAGTTAAATATTAATTCTCTTTAATTTTTAGTATTTCTATTATATTATTCAGAAAGTAGAATCTTCACGCTGAAGATGGAAGCAGTATATTCCTCTGAAATGTTGGTACTGGTACCTGCCTACCAGGCTACATGGTGTAAGAACACGAAAGACCACAATATGTATCTTCATAGATGTAAGAACTCAAATCTTATATTTCACATTAATACTTCATTTTCAGCTTTACAGATAATGATTGCAGAAGAATAGTGGAATATTGTGGCTTAGGCGCTTCTTGAGAAGATGACCACAGGTTTGCGTCATATTGCAACTGAACCATCCAGTCTGAGTAATAAATACTTCAATATGGACAAGAAACGAAGTCCTTTGCCTTGTAACAAGATTAAATCTGCCACAGGGGTAGCATCTGATTCTGTAAGTAGACTAGCAGCTTATGTGCAAAGAGTTTACTCTGTTGCTTAACTTATTACATACCTGTATAATTTTAATCTAGGCTGAAAACATTTCTTTTTCATTATGAAGGGATGTGCTTATGAACAGTCATTCATTCATTCATTCATTCATTCATTCATTCATTGTTGGAGGAGGTGGGTTTCCCAAGCACTTAGACCAGTTATTGGTCCATTGTGCATCCTCCTTTAATTTCTACTGTCTCCATACCCTACCGGTACTGGTGCCCGTTATCAGCCCCTTTCTGCCAGCGAGGTCAGCCCTCTACTGGCAGTGGTATCTGATAATTAGTCCCTTTCTGTCAGCGAGGTCAGTCCTCACCTGGCAGTGGTACCTAATACTTTCCCCATCTACCGGAAGCATTGGAAACTACTTGGGTGGGAAAATTTGCCTAATTTAGCTCAGAGGTCTCCTAGAGACATGAGGTTCTTTTACATGCTGTAAATCTATGACATGGGACCCACGGCTTAAAGTCCCTCCTGGAGGACTTGTTCCCTGAATTTTTTCCGCTCTTAAAAATTCCATGACCTCCACCGGGTTTGAACCCACATACCATGAGTCATGAGGTGGGAATGTTACCCCTAGACTACGGAGGCTGCTATGTTCCTATGAACATACCAATTAATTTGCTGCTTATTTTCATGTTGTATATAATGTTTCACTTACATGAGTCAGAATTGTTGGTCGGTTGGTCCTTTGGTCGGTCTGTCGGTCCTTCGTTCCATAGTGCCTCCAGATATAGCCTTTTAAGATCTTTCTGGCTTTGTGCACATATTCAAGGGCATTGATTCTATTTATGAGGTTGGGGTGTCCACAGGGCAGATGTTGTTACTTCTAGTGATAGGGCTGTCATGAAAATGATGGTCAGCAGAAGGAATTTACAGCCTAATCTTTAACATCTGAAGTGCACATATCGCTACACAGAAAGGTGCAGTCATCATAGCCAAAGTACAAATATTCGTGCATTCGGGCATTTAAATGCCACTGGCAGGAGGGTGCACACACACTGCTAGTAGAAGTGCATGCACAGCTCTAAATAATTATTTTATATGTAATAAAATTCAATGTACATACCTTTTTTGTTATCTTNGTGTTTGGTTTCAAGCGTAGAAAGGACAAAATTTTTTGCAGCTTCAATGAAAGTGCTTGGGAGTTTTGTATGAAAAAAAAAATTATCTCCAGTCTCTACTGAGTTCCCATACTTCCCCTTTTCTTTCCCTCTAGGCAGGCAACAGAGCCGAATATCTGAAGAGTGTAGCAAAATTGTGAACTTTACAAACAGGAGAACAAAATAAGGTTTTCAGTTGTTCCAGATGTTTTACAACACCAGAGACAGTTGAAATATGTCAGTTGTCACAAGAAGGAATGATTTTATAATGCAGAACTACTTTGTAAAGAAGCGGGGAACTCTTTTGTACAGTACACATAAAAAAGTATAACTGCATATTTTGCCTAAACATTTTCAAATCTTACGTTATACTATGTGACATTATGTTCTTTGGTGATAAGGTTAATTCCATTCCTTTGTCATGCAAAGTGTATTAGATAGAGTATTTTTAATAAAGTGCTTAAAATTATTTGAAGCACCAAACAGCAACAGCCGAAGAGCAGTGGGCATTTAAACGCTCAACAGCAGCAGGCATTTAAACAAACTCTATCCAGCTCACCGTACAGCCATTTAAACAGTCTGGCAGTTAAAGGTTAAAGTGGGCTCTGAACCATGGGTGCGGGCTGAAATATAGTTGTTGGTAATGGTGAAGATTTCAGGCTGTGCTGAAAAATCCTCATGCAGATGGAACCAGGGATTGTAGTCAGAACCCTCTGAATGAGAGTCCATTGTTATGGCCCAAGTTTCATTGTGATGTACCTGAAGTGGTATTTTCCACACTAGTATGCAACCAGTTATCTCTCTTTTCACAGAAACAGTGTTGCTTCAAGATGGCTGCCTTGTAACTCACCACTAAATGGGATGTTGTAGGTTAATTAAATTTACTTGGTATTAGGTGATCTCAACTCCCTCTGTGGTCTAGTGGTCAGAGTTCCTAGCTACAGATCCAGAGGTCCTCGGTTCGATTCCGTGTGCTACCAGATTTTCTTAGAAGTAGTGGGTCTGGAATGGGGTCTACTCAGCCTTGTGAGGATAATTGTAGAGTTATTTCAAGTAAATAGCGGGTCAAATCTAGAAAACTGAGATTAACGCCCATGGGGATCTGTTGTGCTAACCACGCGACACTCTGTATCTGCTAAAGTTGGCACTAACTTCGCTGACAAGCGGCGGCTGCTCAGTCGATATAGTTCGCTTGTAGACTACAGGCCATGGAGTTCTTTTTTTTAATAGGTGATCTCTGAGTGGTGGGTCATGTGGGTATCTTGATGCTGGTAGGGTGAGAACTGTCTCAAATATACCAGTCAGGATGGTAGTGAAGGCTGGAGGGATTTGTGGGAAGGATATGACACTGATTTATGTCACACAACATACAGCATTACACAGGTCGCAGTTATTATTCACTTTCATAATTTACTTGAATATGCAAATGTTCTGCATTCTATACTTTCACCTAGTAATGTTATATGGATAAGCTGAGGTGGATGTTGGGTAATTGAGTTAATGATCTCAATGAATTTTTCCTTAATTAATTGAATGTATGAAGAAGAAAACTTGTGATATGAAAGACACGGTTTTATAGCTTGTGATTTGTGATGAAAGTTGTTATTCTAAAGCTGCAGTCAAAAATATGTGTTTTTCTTGGCTGTGAGCTGATTTGTTACTCACCTGAGTTTATACAGAATTTAGAGCCTCTGGTTGGCATTGATGTGTCATGAGTACAGGCAAATAACCACCCAGTTGGGACTGTGGAATACCATTGCTAGAATAAAACTGAAATTTGCCTAAGACAACACTAGCCTACTGACATCAGATCATCATTTCTCTGTACATGATGCCTGACAAGGCTAAATGCTCTGATTTCCAGTCTGTCAGGATCAGAAGTGCAGAAGCTTCCACTTGCTGGTCTCCCATCAGATACATGGGTATTCCTTCTCCCAATCTGATGTCATAACAATCTTCATCTGTTATTTCAGTACAACTGTACTTGCCAGATCTGGATTAATGTGGATCAAGATCCAGATTCTTTCAGCACTTTAAGTTATCAGAACCTGGAATTGAAATTAGACTGCTGGGCCACAGATAGTAGTATAAAATAAATTGGAATGAATTAGACATAACCTTTGTAATAGACCCCTTCGTTTATTTATTTTTTTGTTTTTCTTTGATTTGTTTTGCATGGGTGTGAAACATAGTGTCCATCATTAAGGGAAGAACGTAGACTGCGGGTATTTGAGAACAGGGTGCTGAGGAGAATATTTGAACCTAAGAGGGATGAAATTGTAGGAGGCTGGAGAAAACTGCGTAATGAGGGGCTTCATAACTCTTTGCCAAATATAATTAGAATGACCAAGTCAGAGAGGTTGAAATGGGCAGGGCATGTACCATGCGCGGGAGAGAAGCAGAATGCATGTAGGATTTTGGTGGGAAAACCAGAGAGAAAATGACCACCAGGAAGACCTAGATGGTAGGTGGGAGGATAATATTACAATGGATCTAAGAGAAATGGGTTGATGTGGTATGGGCTAGATTGATCTGGCTCTGGATAAGGACCAGTGGAGGGCTCTCATGAATATGGTAATGACCTTATGTTTCCATAAAATGTTGGGAAATTTTTGAGTAGCAGAGCAACTGGTGTCTTTTCAAGAAAGTCTCAACTTCACAGAGTTGGTCGGTCGGTCGGTCAGTCAGTCAACCCAAACTGACAGAATTTCTGAAATGTATTCACAGAGGGATTATTCTGAAGTGAGGCCCAGCCAAGTAGGAGAAACCACAATTTGTGTCAGTATTCAGTAGTTCTCACCCTGTGGTTAGCTATGGCTGGCCCATATAAAGGGACTGTATCTGTGAAATGACAGTAGAAATGGAAATATGCAGAGATTCAGAAGAGAAAATATTCATTGATGACAAGTATGGCAATTTGCCATGCCATCAGTAGCCCTCCTCTAATTCTGAAGACAACAGAGATGAGGGGGAGAGGTGCCAAAAAGTGGCATATGGCTCACCAGGAGCAACAGAAATGTATGTGCCGCTCTGCCATTCACATATACAGCAGCTGGAGTTGCAATCCTGAATATTGCATGCAGTTTCACATTTTTAGAACTGCTGCAACTCTTATGTATAAGTATTTTGCTGATGATGCTTTTTTAAGAAGCCAGCAGTTGCTGTCACAGTATTACACTGCTGAAAGTGAAGGCAACCCAGCATGTAATGGAGAAATGTTCCTCAATCAATTCTAAAGATGGACCATGTCCAGCATGATACGTGTATATCGAAGCAGCCCCGGTCTAGGAAACCAGTGTGTTCCCATGTCATGTGGTGTAGTAGATTTTTTACATCCTCACATTTCAGCATTATGAAAATGAAATGCTCCCCAGAGAAGCAAAACATATTAAGACACCTTGGAAAATGAGAAAAGTTTTTAATTATTTAAATGCAGAAGCTTCTGAAGTAGACATTCCTTGCGATAGATGAAGCAGTCTTAAAATTCTAAGGCAAGATGGTTTGCTGCCAGTGTATTCCAAAAAACAAAGAAACAAAAACTACAAATTAGCTGACCCACTAGCATAAATCTCTGACATGAAGTCAATGCAGTCAATAACAGAAACTGATTTTCATTGTCTTGTTATAAGTGTAATCAGAAAAGATGGAGTTCTGTGTAGAGCTTGTAAAATCTGCTTTCCTATAGCACTCACTAGTCGTCCTAGAAATCTCATTCTGGTAACATATATAGATAATATAAGTTTATAAACCAACATTGAAATTTAGATGCAGACTCTACCTTCGTGTTCATTTCACCAGCATATTGGGATCTGAGTGGTCAGTTACCACATTTCCTGGTGTAAGACTTACTTTTCCATTAAAATGGCCCCAAAAATTGTAGTGGGTCTTGTACATCAATGTAATTAAGAAAACGTTTATAATTTATCCTTCCTAAATCATCATGCATACTGTACACAAAGAAATATGGCAGATTCTTTTGTTGTACATTATGATATTTTTGTGAGGTTTTGAACCATGTGCATGTGTAAGGTATAAGGTAATTTTGTCAATTCAGAATAATTGACTGAATTACAAAAATCTTTATCATCTTTATCTTCAAAACTTTTCCAAAACAGATTATATTAAATTCACAACAAAAAATTCCTATGAACAGGACAATTATATTAATATTGAAATGGCAACAAGAAAATTTCTGAGTCATGTTATATAAAGTTTTTAGGAAATAATATCATAAAAACACTATCATGGAAGAGATAATACTGCCTGTTATGCACTTAGAACTGTTAAGCCATATGTGAATCAGGAAACATTGTTGATGGTCTATTATGCCTGTTTCCATTCTATTATGCATTATGGTATTATATTTTGGGGGAAATTCTTCATATGCAATTAACATTTTTCATGTACAGAAGAGGGCACTTAGAATAATGACAGGTATTAGTAATAGAAACTCTTGTAGACAGTTATTTAAACCATTAAGAATTCTCCCACTTCCATCTCAGTATATTTATTCTTTATTGTGTTTTGTGGTTGATAACATGGATTCATACCAATTTATGTCAGATATACATAACAGAAATACAAGACGGTTACAATCTTAATCTTTATCAACCCTGAGCTTATCTATCACTATATCGGAAGGGAACTTGCTATATGGGTATGAAGGTGTTTAATAATCTTCCTTTATACTTAAAGAAATTATACAATAATTGTAAAGGTTTTAAATCTGCTTTGAAGGATTTTTGTGTTGCTATTCATTTTATACATTGGAAGAATATTTTGACTTTGAATATGATGAGGTATCATTTCTTTGTAATAGGTGATTAATCATGTATAGTTTTTGATATTAGGTTTTCAGTATTATTTTTGTGCTCATGAATGTGATTATATTGTGTAGTGTTACTTGGCTATATGTACATTTTTACTGTTTTCTTCTTCTTTTTTTATATTGGTTATGACAGTTTCCACATCTTTGTGCTTTGTATGGAAATGTGGAAATAAAGGTATATGAGAATGAGAACATCAGTTTATGTTGAAAATAGTGTTAAATCTTTGTTTATGGATGAATAATGCTTGATTCTTATTTGTGAGAAATAACTAGTTCTATCATATAGCATTGAATTATTCCTCAGGATTTTGCCTTTATTTGAAGACATAAAATAATAAGAGGTCATTACATATGAATTTTCTTTTCATAAATTAATCTTTGAGCTTTACCCTGCCTTCTTCCATCTTCCTAGTTAGTGGCTCTGTCTTGATGTTCACCACTTGGTTGTGATCATTAGGAAGGCAGTTTGGAGAGCAACAGTCTGTCTGCTGAGTCAAATAATGAGCACCTCCCAAAAACACCACCAAAGGACAATGCAGGTAAGTTTCTTATCTATGTGATTGGAACATGCACTGTTCTGATCATGGGATTTGGTAATTAAAACATTTCTTCAAAACAGTGTTAACCGTTAAACGAGTATGCATGTACAGTTTATATATGTAAAGTTAAGCTGATGAACCTTTTTAGTATGTTGATTGCTAGAAGAATTCTACACCATAAGAAACTCAAAGCTATCCCTGTAACAGTCCTTGGAGGCCAATAGAGTTATGAGATGTCGAGTTTCCCACATTTTCTAGATAGTGCATAATTTAATTAATACATTTACTATTTTTTATTGTTGCTTAATTGTCATTTATATCATATAGCATTTGAAATTGGGTAGTATCTGTCATTTTACATTGTTCATATGCAGTAGTGATAGTAAATTGTGTTTCACACTCTGTGGTATGCAGCTTCAAGTCTCATTTATAGTCTGGTTTCAGAAAGAAAAATGTCTTATGGAGCAGTCAGGTCTGTATGTGTTTTGGAACGTTTTTCTTTATGTGTCTGAAGTTTATTTTTGAATGAGCAAATGTGCACATTCATTCACGTATTTGTGCCATTTGCTAAAATCTTTTGATCCTCTTGGGCTGTTGTCACCATAATTGCTACTGACATCATGCCATTATCTAGAACCCTGATGCAGTACTTCAGAATGTCCACATTTTACAAATTCTGCGATATGACATTGGAAAATAATGAAAATAAACAGGAGAAACAGAAACCAGCCTCTGTAATTATGGGCACAGAATATATGGATCATTTTTGTGTAATTGATATTTTCCTGCAGTGAATTTCAATTCACATCCCCCATATATGATGGCATTTTGTGTTCTCATGTGAAGTATCACAACACATTCAGTGACATTCCAGTTTTGTAAATTTCAGAAACTAATTCTCTGCAGTATCTTAACTGGAAAACAGTATTTTACAGACATGGTAAATATATACAGTATTCAGTTATCAGTGCGGTCTGTGGGTCAGTAGTACTCTCTCTCTATATGGTTAATGCAGAAATGTGGAGCAGGACAAAGCCCACCAGTGCAGTCAGGGCATCATATCTTTACTCCTCTCTTTGGCATCTGTTATTGCAGACAGCACATAATTTTGTTAGTTCCTGTCTTGTTGCTGGGATCAGATCACAGAAAGATGTGAAAACATATGGGCAGTTCTGATGGACTTCTAATGCCCACTACAGGACAATGCTTGCTGTACTCAGTCAGCTTTTGACTAGCTCACAAAGAAACACTGGCCATTTCTTCTTTCCTCCTAGCTTTCTCTGCATATGGTAGGCATTTGGTGCATACTTGACCATTAGGTGACATTACTTTTATACAGTATTTCTTAAACTGATTTCTGATCATGGCATCGATCTACATATTGTGACAGAATGATCAGTTGCTAGGCAGCTGGTCGCTAAACACATGCTTGTGGTAACGAATACACAGGCAACAACAGGTGAACTACCATTTCTATGCAACGGCAGTGCAAAGACACTGCTATAACAATACAGGACTTGCTAGGAAACGGTGCTTTCTGTAGCTCATTAGCTTCTTTCTTTCACAATGCAAATTCAGTGTTTCGGTGGAAGGTGAAATATGAGTGCTGGAATATTTAAATTAAGAAAGATAAGACCTAGGAGAATGGACATGAGGTTCGCTCAGGGCAGTGGTAGAAGAAATCTTAAAATATAAGTTAGATTTAGTGAGAGTACAGGAAGTCAGATGGGATGGAGGTGGCGTAGAACTAGCAGACGAATATACATTTTTTTTATAGAAAGGGGAATGAAAATCATGAATTAGATACAGGTTTTTTTTTTTTGTACATAAGAGAATCACATCAGCAGTTAAGAGGGTAGAGTTCATTAGTGATAGGATATCATATATAATACTAAAAGATCAATGGTGTGATATCATCATTATGAATCTTCACACCCCAACAGAAGATAAAATTGATGCCATAAAGGACAGGTTCTATGAAGAACTAGAATATGTATTTGATAAATTCCCAAAGCACCCTATCAAAATTTTATTAGGAGATTTCAATGCCAAAGTAGGGAGGGAAGGCATTTTCAGACCAACGATTGGGAATGAGAGTTTGCATGAAATTAGTAATGATAATGGAGTTAGAGCAGTAAACTTTGCCACATTGAAAAATCTTACTGTCAAAAGTACAATGTTCCCGCATCATAACATCCATAAATTTACTTGGACATCTCCTGATGCGAAGGTACACAATCAAATAGACCATATTTTGATAGATAGGTAGATAGGAGACAGCACTCAAGAATACTTGATGTTCGATCATTCAGGGCAGCAGATTGTGATACTGACCACTACCTGGTGGTGGCAAAGAGCAAACAAACAACACACAGAGTTCATATGGAGAGGTTCAGTCTCAAGAAATTAAATGAGGTAGAGGGGAAATGAGCAGTATTGTTTTGAAATCTGAAATAGGCTCACAGCTTTGGAAAACTTAAGACACTGAGCTGGATGTTAATAAAGCTTGTGAAACCATTAGAGAGAATATAAAAATTTCTTCCAAGGAGAGTCTAGGCTATTATGAACTGAAAAAGCATAAGCCATGGTCAGATGAAGGATGCTCAGAATTATTAGACCAAAGAAAGCAAGCCAATTTGCAATGGTTACAGGATCCAAGCAAAATAAATGGGGATAACCTGAACTATATAAGACATGAAACCTGCTGGCATTTCAGGAACAAAAAGAGGCAATATCTGAAAGACAAAATTGATGAGCTTGCAATGAATAGTAAGAACAAGAACATAGAGACCTGTATAGAGGAATAAATGACTTTATGAGGGGTTACCAGTCTTGCAGTAACTTAATGAAGGATGAGAATTGTGATCTGCTTGCAGATTCCCACAACATTTTGAATAGGTGGAAGAAATACTTCTCTCAGTTATTGAATGTACATAGGGTCAGTGATGTTAGGCAGATGAAAATCCATACAGCTGAGCCATTAGTACCTGATCCTAGCCCTTTTGAGGTTGAAAGTGCTATTGCAAAATTGAAATGGTATAACATGCCAGGTAGTGATAAAATTCCAGCAGAACTTATTCAAGCAGGAGGCGAAATATTACGTTCTAAGATCCACAATCTAATTACTTCTATTTGGCATAAGGAAAAATTGCCTGATCAGTGGAAGGAGTCTATTATTGTACCAGTTCACAAGGAGGGTGATAAAACTGACTGTAGTAATTATCGGGGGATATTGCTGCTATCAACTTCATACAAAATTTTATCCAATATTCTTCTCTCAAGGTTAAGTCCATACATAGATGAAATTATTGGGGATCATCAGTGTTGGTTTTGATGTAACAGATCAACTGCAGATCAGATCTTTTGCATTCATCAGATATTGGAAAAAAAAAATGGGAGTGCACTGAGACAGTACATCAACTATTCATAGACTTCAAGAAAGCCTATGATTCAGTTAGGAGGGAAGTATTGTACAATATTCTGATAGAGTTTGGGATACCCATGAAACTGATTAGGCTGATTAAAATGTGTTTAAATGTATATTAAAGTCCATATACTCGTAGGTAAACATTTGTCTGATAAATTTCCTATAAAGAATGGTCTAAAACAAGGAGATGCTCTATCACCACTCCTTTTCAACTTTGCTTTAGAATATGCCATTAGGAAGGTCCACGAAAACCAGGTGGGACTAAAATTAAATGGGACACATTAGCTGTTGGTCAGTGCCAATGATATGAATCTACTGGGTGATAATATAGATACTGTAAAGAAAAACACACAGACTTTAAATGACACAAGTAAGGAGGTTGTTCTAGAAGTAAACACAGAGAAAACTAAGTATATGTTGCTGTCTCATCACCAAAATGCAGGGCAAATTCGTGACATAATGATAGGTAACAGATGTTTTGAAAATGTGGCACAGTTCAGATATTTGGCAACGACAATAACAAATCAAAACCTGATTCAGGAGGAAATTAAGAGGAGACTGAACTCGGGTAATGCTTGCTACCATTCAGTCCAAAACCTTTTGTCTTCTCGTCTGCTGTTCAAAAAATTAGAATATACGTAACTTTAATTTTTCCAGTGATTCTGTAAGGGTGTGAAACTTGGTCTTGGATATTAAGGGAGGAACATAGACTGAGAGTGTTTGAGAACAGAATGTTGAGCATATTTGGACTGAAGAGAGATGAAGTGACAAGAGGTTGAAGGAAACTGCATAATGAGGAGCTTCATAACTTGTACTCTTCTCGAAGTATAATTAGAATGATCAGGTCAAGGGGGATGAGGTGGGCAAGGCATGTAGCATGAATGGGGGCATCAAGGAATGCATATAGGATATTGGTGAGAAAGCCAGAAGGAATGAGACCACTGGGAAGACCAAGGCATAGGTGGGTGGACTATTAAAATGGATCTTGGAGAGATGGGATGGGCTCTGGCTCAGGATAGAGACCAGTGGAGTGGTCTTCTGAACACGGTAATGAACCTTTGGTTTCCATAAAATGCTGGGAAATTCTTGAGTAGCTGCAGAATTGGCGGCTCCTCAAGAATGGTTCAGCTCCATGAGTAAATAAATAAGTAATACTAAGGGGATCTACATTTCTTGCAGTCTTCGGCCTCCTGAGTCCCATCTTACACTGAATGGACGAAACATTCCCTTTCTAAATAGTATAAAGTATCTTGGTATAACCTTTGATAAGAAAGTTAAATGGAGATTGCACATAGAAATGATCAGAGCCAAGGCCTTCAGAACATTTATTAGAATATGTAAGATTTGAGGCTTTCACGGCGGTGACTATGAAGAAAGCAGTCTTCTGGGATTTGGCACCGTGTATATGTACTTATACTTTTTCTTCAACCCTGAAGATGGGGGCGATACGTTCCTCCGAAACGTCGGTTAACGCCACATATACACGGTGCCAAATCCCAGAAGACTGCTTTCTTCATTTATTAGAATAGTTTCCCCATTCAAAAGTGAACGATTAAGCACTAACATTAAATTGACCCTCCACAGAATACTCATTAGAAGTATACTGACTTACGTTTGCCCCACCTGGGTGTTTGCAGCAGAGAACCATCTACTGAAATTGCAGTGCCTGCTAAACAAAGTTCTCTGCACCATTGGAAATTTTCCAAGGTGCACACTGATTTGCATTTTGCACATGGCTTTCAACCTTCCATATATATATATATTATTGTGTAACAAAATTATGCAGGCAACAAGCAGAAGTCAAACAAAATTATGAAAATGCAAATGTTCGCAACATTGGACAAGGCAAACCCCGACACAGGAAATATAAGATGCTTAAACTTGATTGCGGTCAAGCATGTGACCATTCGAATGACTAAACTGCCGTTGTAGCAGGAGCTATTAAGGATAAAGCATTATCTGCTATACTGAGCCCAGACTGACAGAGGCCTTTTATATATTGTACATACATTTAATAACATACAAAATGTAAATTGTACATACTGACAACAGACTTATTACTGCTGACTGTGACTCTGGCAAATGACAGACCCATTCTCTCATCAGAGAGACCACCCCATATCAAAAAGCCTGCAACTGTCTTACAGTAATAAAGATCTGGTCTGAAGCCCCAGATGGATGCTTTATTCCAAGACAGACTGGTCAACTGACCGTCGGTTGTAACATAAATTTGACTTGAAAGTTCAGTTGAGTGAGAGATTCTTCAGACAGACTTCATTCAGAAGGAAATCGATGTTTGAGCTGTTATAATTGACTCTAATTGTAAAGAAGTGCCAGTAAACCGAATACATAACAATATAGTTGTTAGCCAAATAAACATGTTCCATTTTTTGTTACAGCTGCAGCTTTCATAACTTCTGTAACTTTCTCTGTGCACAGGCTGATGTGGAAAATCAAAAAGCTTTTGCAAATTAAAACTCTTCATGAAGATATTTTTGCATTTCTGTTCTTATGGATTGATTCATACAGTTATTTTATGGGTTTACAGATTTTTCCTAGAATCCACATTCACCTGCAGGTTGCAGTTTTCCCACTCCTGCTTTAGTATTCCATGTCATTGCCATTTATGACATACAAAATAACCTAGTAACTGTTAGGATAGAAATGACAGAGTCAGCAAGCCAAATTACATAACAGGAAAAATGTTATGTAATTACAAAATACATTATATAAATGAAATAAAATAAAATATATCAAAACTAATTGTAAATAACATACCCCATGCTGGACAGTGTTGTCATACCCACTTAAAAGGTTAAGTTATGCACATGAATATGCAGATACATGTACTTTTTCTGTATTTTAACATATGTATAACATTCTGATTGGGAAAATATTACTGCCAGTGGTTGATCTGTTGGCAAGAAACCGTATTAAAATCTGTGTATATGATGGTGGATCATAAAATTCTGGGACTGATTTTTATATGTGCATGTAATGAACTTGAAGCCATTCCTTTTAATATGTTAATCAAATTCATCTCCTTAAAAATAGTCTTCTCGTGGGTGAAACTGATGGTTGTGGTAGCCATGTCACAAGTTGAAGCAGTACTCTTGCGGGGTACTGTTCATTTTGCTTCTCACACTTTGAATGATCTCTGGTGCTCCCGAAATCTCTTTAACTTCTGAATACTTTCCAATCTGGGAAACGGAAAGCCACTAGGTGCTGAATCCAGTAAATAAAATTAGTGAGAAACCAGTTGAATGTTGTGCATGATGAAGAATTTCTTTGTGGAAAGCTCTGAGCATGGTACATTGTTGTGAAGTAACATATATGAACCCAGCTTCTTCTTTAAGCCTGTTTCTGTCAGATTGCATGTTTTAGGTATTTTAAGACATCCAAGTAAAAATACTCACCTGTCATTACACTTTTTTTCACAAACGTGATGTATTGTGTCCATAGTGCTTTATGATGATAGGTGTGTATTGTCTCTGGCTGATACTGCCTTTCCCATGCCCCTTAGGAAGCATGTCAGATGTTCAGCAGGACTGAGAGCTTCTTGTCCAATTGCAGATTCAATAAGAATTTTGCAGATTTGCACTATGATCTTTCCAGGTTTCACACAGAATTTGATGCATGTGTGTGTTCTATAATGTTGGCTTTTTCAGAATTGGACCACTGTGTTTTACTCCAACTGGTGCAAAGCGTTAGCTTCACTTTCAGCTGAGATGAAGTCAGAAACAATTGTGAACAACATCTGTTATTTATTTCCTATAATACTTGAGAGAGACTGGGTACAATGATATCAGTCTTGGAATTTTATGCTCATCCTTCTTGTAATATATGATACCTTACCATTGCAATGTTAAATGTGACTTTACATGTCAATATGAGGAAACTCTTCATACTGCACTAGAGAAGGTTGTTATGTCCAGTTTAACTATTAGAAAACAAGCAGCACTAGAGACGACTAGGTGATTTACATGTCTGCATGACGATAAGCAATATGACAGACAGTAATACAATTTTTTAGATTCAGTTTCTTCAACAGGTGTTATTTATAGACACTCTAATATGTGTTTCAAAAATGTATTTAGTACGTTATCCATAAACAAGGACATGACTAATCCAAATTTTCTTTGGTTTGTGGAAGGAGCTAATAACTTTGCCTGATTTTTCAGCATATAAGCGAGGTGCCAAACGTAGATCAGAATGGGAGATCTTAGAAGGTCTGAAAGATGGGCAAAGGTTTGACAAGAAACCAGACGTCTATACTGGTTATCTGCACAAGAAAAGGAAATGGCCACTTAAGGGCTGGCACAAAGTAAGTTAAAGTAACACCCAAAGAACCATTACTGTCATTTCCTTGATACTAAACTTAATTATAACTCACAATTGTAGTTTTGTAGTGGAAAGAAGATAATGTGGACGTGCAAATATTCAGCTGTTGTGACCTGAGAAACGTGGACTTTTAGAGCATATTTAATGTTGCTTAGATATTCACATATAGACATAAGTTGGTATAGACTTCTGTTAACCCGTTGCCGTGGTTCGACGTGTATGTTTCGTCAGGGATTTAAATCGTCTGGGGGGGTTCGACGTGTATGTTTCGTCCAGCTGCACACCTACGTTATAACGCCCATAATAATTGATGGTTTTGCTGTAGATTGTTAGATTTTTCGCTGGCCTGTTGTCAGTAGAACAGAGTATAAATAAGACACGACTTTATCTGCGCCAAGTCATCGTTACATATGCCTGTCTTGCAGCAAA